CCCCAAAACCCCAAAACCCCAAAACCCCAAAACCCCTGAAGTTATTATAAATATTGAATATGAAAATGGAATCAAATTCCGAATCAGACAATGATTATGTCGAAGGTATCAACTCTTCGAAATTCTACACACTTTTACACTAAATCAGCCCCATTATAGAGGATTTGGTAACTATCAGAGATGTTTTATGCATAATTTTGGATACCAAACTTTTAATAAACAGAAATTTTGAGAGGAATTTTATTAATAAGATTAATAACTTGTAATCATGTAACTTCGATGAAAGGTTTCTTCCAAATTTTCATTGAAATATTAGGAAATATACTTTATGAAATTAATTTTAAAACTTAATTTAGAAGAGCATAAAAGTATTAGGCTAAATCAGGATACTATTTCTTCAGACATTAGCTCCCCCAGTAAAGCTACTTCTAAAAATGAGAATGACAACCCCACGACTCCTGAAAAGAACGATGAAAAGAAAATTGACCTCAAAGAAGGGAATTCATCTCAATTTCTCAAAGTTTTGAATCAAGCTAATCCCATAAGTTTTTATAACAAAAAGCCCAGAGGTTCAATGAAAAATGAGACTGTCAATAAGCAATCAATGATGGTTGACCGGATGGACTCTATCAAATCAATGAAACAGAAAATGCACATGGATCCTTTTGTGAGGACCAACCAAGCACTTCTTAAGAGATTAGATAGCATCAGCACTCTATTCAACAAAGATGGAGGAGGCACTAATTCAAAAATTGGGGCTCAAGAAAATAATTACTATTACACAAATTTTGGATGTAATGTCAGTCAAACTTCGAAAAGATTTGGAGTCAGAGATACACCAATGTTCAGAAGTGGCGAAGGGGTCTCTGATAATGATGTCTCGGAAAAAGATAAGAGAATGTCTTCAGCAGTTAGTATGTGGGATAACAATAGAGGTAGTGCTGTATTCTCAGGAAATACCCCAAAGAAATAAAATATCTGACAATCTCAAAGGAGTCATGAATATAAAAGACCCATTAAATAAATCAGAAGTGTCAGTAGTTAGCGTCAATGAAATTCTTGATTTTGATGACTACATCCCATTCAAGCCAACTAATCTCCTTGAAAAGATTGATGAAGAGAAACAGCAGATGCTTGAAAAAGATAACGATGAAAGAAAAACTCCCTCTCCCTCCCCTAAGAAGGATCATGTATATAGCTTTCAAGAAGCTAGAATGAGTGAAGAAGAATCTTTTGATTCGAAAAACGAATCGATAAAAGAAACTAGTGAGTCCGATAACGAAAGTGAATTAGTTGACCATCTCAAGGTTGAACCAAACATGAAGCCAAGAAGATCTTCTACATTTAACTCTTGCCAATTACATCAGAAAATATTAAAATTTAAAACAAAAATGTCTTCCCAGTACCACCGCCAAGGATCAGGGCATTCAGAGTTAACTATTGGAAATTATTCTCAAAAAGGAGGAATCTTAACATCAATTTGTGCTAGTAGAGATGGAAATGATTCTGAAGCTTTAGTAAACCCAATAGCACTAAAAGCGCAGTTAAAATAAGAAAATGAGCATGCATTTTCCAAAGGCACGGCTTAAAAGTAAGAGAACTTTGAAGTTCAGGTCATCATCTTCCTCAAAATCCAAGATAATGTCTATCAGGAGCTACAAAAGAGCTAAGGCATTTAAACTAATGATGATGCCTACACCTCCTGAAAAGGTGAGCAATTACATGCTATTCTCTTCACGTGCTCTTCGAAAAGTGGGTGCTACAAATACAAAAGATCTCATCATAACTCTCAATGAGATGGGCTTTGATGACGAGAAAGTTGAAAGGACAGTCTACTATGGCGAAATTAAAACAGTTGAAGAAGCTATGTACTACCTTGTCCCAAATCAAGAGAAGCTATGGGAGCACAAATTTGTCCCTGAAACTTACTGTAAAGGTCAAGAATGGTGCTTGTTTTGCAAATAGACAACAAAAATTGAAAAAGTAAGGAAAATTAGTTATTTCTAGAAACAATAGTAAAAATGGTAATACCAGTGAGAAGAGCAGGCCAAATTCGCCAGAGAGCAAAGGGAGGGACCTTGAAAATGGCAGCTTAAAATCTGGAGAGCAAAAGCAAATTACACATATGATGGATAAAGTTATTATAAATAATCGCTTATTCGTACAAAGAAGAAATAGGAATAAGTTAACAGAGACAGTTCAAACCATTAGCCGTCTTGGAATGGATTTGCCTAAAATGAATCGTAAGCCATCCAGAAACTCTGGGGAAGAATTTCCTAAAGAATTGGACAACCAGGAAAATACTGAGGTCAATAACCAAGATGAGAATGGCGAGCGTAACTCAAATTTAGGATTTGACATTTCTCAGCATTATGATGAAGCTTCTGAATCTCAAGAATTTCAAATTTTAAAAGATGGAATTAAATAAATCTGAAGAAAATAATAAAGATCAAGATAGTAGCCCTAAAAGCTTTATCTCTGAACCAATGAATAAAAGATTATCAATATCTGTTTAAGAACGAGAATGAAGAAGAAAATCCTCTAAATCAAGAGGCTAAATAATGAGAATATCTTTCAGAAGGAATTCACTAAAAGCAAAACAGGTATTCTAGATAGAGAATCGCCAAAGAATGGGGACCACTCAAACACCTCATCTTATCGGCAGGGAGATACGTTTTTAAGAATTGGAGAACATGAGGAAATTTGTGGAATCTGATACCAATCATTTGAAAACCATTCCTCTGATTTTAACATCGACCTCATGTACCTTAACAATAAGTACGGTGAGATGTTAAATCAGGCTACACAGCTAGACACAGTGAGCAGACCCTTCACTGCAAATTCAATGTACAGCTTAATTTCTAGAAAGCATTCTCGAAATGATGCTAAGGTAGAGAAGGCTAACATTCCAACAATAAACGTAATTCCAGAAAATAAGTATATGAACATTAATGAATCTCCCCAGCATCAAGCAGGTTCAACTTGGAATGTGCCTTCGGGAATGAAGAAGTCTTTCCTGAGTTCTAACGCAGACTCTGACCAAGCAAGTCGCTTTGAGCTAATCAAGAAGGAGCATAGCAAAGCCAGATCAAATTGCTTAAACTACTTATACAGCAGTGGCATTATCAATAATTCAGAGTTTGACAGAAGGCCAAGTAAATTTCACCAAAAGTGCCCTATCTGATTAGAATATTGAAAGAATTCTTTTGAACTCTCTGGATGTGGCCATCATTTTTGTAAGCTCTGCCTCAGAGATTATATTGAGATGAAAATAAAGAACTCCCTTGTGTTCGATATTAATTGCCCTGAGCAAGATTGTAAAGAAACTATCGAAATGAACGTTATGATTCAAGTAAGCACAAAAGAAATGATCGAAAGATATAATGAATACTCAAGTGACCTCTCTTTCTTTAAGAAAAATAAAAGTTTTATCCATTGAATGAACTGATCTAAACTATTTTCCTATGATCCTCAGGACTTTTTAGCTCATTGCCCAAGATGAAGCACTGAGATATGTGTTGAATGTATGGTACCATATCATGTAGGACAATCTTGACATGATTTTGCAGAGAAAAGATATAAAGATGCTGCCAAAGGTAAATCAATCCAAGTCTGACCTCACTGTCATAAATTTATTGAAAAAGCTAAAAAGTGTAACCACCTTACATGCCAGCGTTGCATGTCCCATTTCTGAATATTTTGACGAAAAGATGTTCCTGAAAAACTTAAGAGATCAAAGCTGTATATGGATGGGTATTGATGAAATAAGATAAAAAGTCCAATGCCAAAATCGGTTTCCATAAGCACGAACAAATGTAAAATCTTTTTCCTAGCTCTACTGCTGATCCTGCTATCTCCCATATTTGCCATCTGTGTTCTGCCTTATGTGGCATTTAAGAACATATCCTCCAGCCAGTACACTTTGATTCCTGATGAATCAAACAAAAATCATAAAGGAATTTGGCATAAATTTCTTGGATTTTTATGCTTTATCCTGCTTTTGCTCATATTTCCAGCAACTTGGGCTTTCTTCATTGTCTGGATATTTTTCATTATGAAAAAGCTATCAAAAAGCGCTTCTCCTCCAAAAAACTCAGTTTGACCTAAACCTTCCAACCCAAACAATGCAAATATAAAACCAGAGCCCAATTTCATTCAAAACAACCATCGCTAAAACACACCATTCCCCAAAACCCAATTCCTTATACTTCCAAATTTCAATTTCTACTGTTCACCCCGGGGTTTTGGGGTTTTGGGGTTTTGGGGTTTTGGGGTTTTGGGG